CGCACTCACATTTACCTTTGCTTTCCTCTCTATGATGATGATGATTGTCATGATCTGTCTGTCCGGTGATGCCTTGAATCGTAACATAACGACTTTAAGGTTTGGAAGGATTCACACAGACAGTTTATCTGATTTCTAAGTGTTTGTGGTGCAGCTGTGATGTGTTCAGGGACAATCAGAGAATAAAAAATGAAGCTGTTCTAACAACACGCATTAAAACAAAGAGGCAATGAAGCTGCCTGTCCCAAAACTAATATTTCCAGCTTCACTTTTGAGACTTTAAAGATTACTGGTTAAGAATCTGAAGGGATGAAGTTGAAATCTGCTCGTTTCCACATCTGTAGCTTCCCTCCCTCCTCACACGACTAACACACTGCGTCCTTCTCTTTGTGCCATTCAGATCATTTGAAGTGGATAGATCGTTGTTTACCTCATGCAAGTCAGAAAATGAAATAAAAAAAAAGAAAGAAATGCTATTCTATGAAAAAATAAAAGCTATTTTGTATCTGTGAGACCTTAAATAAATCTTTTTGTGTTTAAGTGCTGCAATCACTCCGTTTGACTTCTGTGACTTTCTGTACTTTATAATCCATGTTTTAAAGTTATTTTTATTATTAATATATGCTCATTTATATCATTTCATTTTCTAAAGTTTCTAAAAGTTTCCAAAAAACCTCTTATGAATAGCAAATAAATAACCCTTATGTCCTGTCTCATTGTACCCATAATAAACAGAGTGGAGGATTTAGTGACAGTCATGCACATTCACCTTTGACCTTTTATGCATCCTGTCTGTGGTACAACAGTAATTCTTATGCAGCATCTTAAAAAGACAATTAAACTAACGTCGGTTATATATATATATATATATATATTTCTATCTTAATTAAAAATCTTATTTTTAAATGTATTCAATTAATATATTGTCATTATATATTAACTTAATAAGCCTCATACTTTCTTTCTTGGCGATTTGGAAACTAAAAATTTGGTTAGTTTATATATAGGCTATATAAAGCTAAATTCTATGATTTATATGATTTACTGCAGATTTTAAATGTGACATACAACCAATGCTAGTTTCATATAGGTGATGAAAGACTGTATACTATATTTGTGTCTTTGAACCATAAATCAGATAGATCAGATGAAATAACAGAGACACAGGTTCTGTTTTGAAGCTTTAACTCAAACAGGGCCCAACTGTCGAGTCCTTATCTAGTCAAACGTCCCTGTTCCTGCCTCAGACAGATAAATCCACCAGGCTGTTTGGGTCTTTTGTCTCTTCTCAGTTTGTTTCTCGAGTCCTGACCCAGAAATTAAACTCTCAGTGGACTTACCCCAGAAACACCACACTATCGGACCCTGCTGCTGCTGCTGCGGCGGCTGCTCCAGGATTTAGCCTGGTCCAGAATTAGACGACACACTGGCCCCATCACAACAGCTTCAAAATTATCACTCAGCTCCCACAGCAGCGGAGATTAAAGCCTTATCAGTTATAAACATAATGGAGGTTTAATCTGCCCGGTAAAGTAGTTTGAGCTTCAGGCTTCACTCATTCATCATTTCATCAGGGGGATAAAGTTTACCTATGATTTCTAAACCACAGGCCAGAAAAAAAGTGTAAGACTGACCATTTCTAATTTAAGGATTACAATTAAGACAATTTAATAATTGTTACTTACGGCGTTTAATTTGTCTCAAAAACCGTCTCTGTGACCGATACAGACACAGATCCGCGTTATTTTTATACTGTCACTGAGATGAATCAGCACAATTGTAAGAATCTGAATTTTTCTAGCTATACCTGAATGCAGCACCGGCTAACGTTTGCTCCCGCCGACAGGAAATTCAAACCGCCACATTGGCTCCGCCTCCTTAGAAACCCATAAATACCACGAGCTTCACTTCCCCTCCTCAGTACTGCCTTCAGCAACCGATACTTCACGTCGGCGAGAAGGAGAAAAACAGTCTGAAAAATGGTGAGTATTGAAGTTAGAATACATTTAAAAAGACCCACTGGCGTTTTTAGACGGTTGGTAAGAGACTGGCATTTGTTTCTGTTGGGGAGAAAAACGCATTTTTTTCTCTTAAACGTAATTTCGCATGATTAAATAATACGCATTAATATGTTTAATAGTTCATATGTGGTTTAAAGGTTGCATAAAAGACGTAACGTTTTGTTAAATTGACGTGAAGCTGTTTGTCGGTTATGTTCCCGCCTGTGAGTGCGTAGCGTTGTTTGACGTGGAACAAGGCCAAACTACTGGCGCAGTTTCAAATAAAAAAAGATGGCTGACAGAAATACGGTTAACCTTGTTCGTCATATGCGCAAAATTCATTAAAATAGCGCTTGGGAGGCCGTGTGTCCATGTGGCTGTAAATGCAGGAACTGAGAATGAAACTTAAGAGCGTGTGAGCTGGTGGGCGCCATCAGATAACGCCCAAGTCCGTGAACGTTACACAAAGGTAGGGCTTTGCAGTGAGCAGCGTGGGGGCAGGGAGGAGGACCTCCTCCTGCCGGTATGGATGTTTTTTACACTCCTCCCTGATGGGTGGTTTTTGCTGTTGCTGCTGCTCACTCAGTTTCGGGGGGGGGGGGGCAGCAGTCAGCCCACCACAGGTCTGCAGCAACCTGCCATGTGACTCAGCATACATGATTCATCAGGCCTGCTGAAAGTCACCACCTGAGGCCACGGATTTGCCAAAAGTTCCCGCCTAAGTAGATGATGACGCTGTATTTTTGAAACGTTTAGTCTATAAATGTCGGAATATCACAAGATGCATCAAATTTAGAGCCGAATCCTTTCAGCCAATCGATCGATGCGTCAATAAACATGAAAGCGAACGGAAACGGTTTATTTATTTGATTTATTTATTTATTTAAATCCCTTATTTTTAAGCTGTGTTTCAAATGACTGACAAAGTATATGACGTATTAATTAGGACAATGTTATTTCCGGCTCCAGTAAATACTTAAAGGGAGTTACAGTGCAGATTTGAAATGGAATAACTGCATATTAATTGCATGAAGTGAATACTAATACCATGTTTTTATTGCAGATGCTTTCTTAAAAAGATGAAAATTGTTTTTGTGGACAATACAAGATTACTTTGTCTCGCCTGCTTAAGGTTTCTAATAAAAACTCTTTTAAAATAACCATGAAGGGGTCTGATCAGTGAGTGCTGTGATGTTTCTTATTATAAAAATCAAACCAGGGCATATCATGATGTCAGACACAGGCTCTGAGGAGGAGCTGATGTGTGATCTGGGTCAGCAATTCACCACAGAGGAAGAACTGTACAAACTAACGGCAGAAACATTAAAGAACAATCTGAATGTGAAGTAGTTCATGGTGCAGGTTTGTCTGGTATCTAGCACGGCTCTGGTAGTAGAAGCTGGTGACTGAGCATTCTTTTCCCCCCTGCAGCGTGAGTGTATTTCTATGCACGTCGGCCAGGCCGGCACCCAGATGGGCAATGCATGCTGGGAACTCTACTGCCTGGAGCATGGTATCCAGCCGGACGGTCAGATGCCCAGCGACAAGACCATCGGAGGGGGGGACGACTCCTTCAACACCTTCTTCAGTGAGACCGGAGCCGGCAAACATGTTCCCAGAGCTGTGTTTGTGGACCTGGAGCCGACGGTCATAGGTAAACACTGACTTTACTAAACAAACAGGAAACTAGTGCCTTTTTTTTTAAATAGAACTAGTCTGGAAGTAATGATGCAGAAGCACATTATACAAACCTTTAAGATTATTAGGGCCCAAACAAATACAATTTTATTATCATTTAATCTCAGATATATTTTTTCTAACTGATTAATAGTCTGGTCTTTAAATGTCAGCAAGTGAGACTTTATGAGTTTCCTGTATTTATAAAATAAAAACTTTTACTTAAATTACATTTTTGTCAGGTTCTGGTTTTAATTTAGTTTGATTAACTTGAGTTCAAACATGGATAACCCAAGTTATTCCAGACTAAACATGAACTTCTGTCAAACATTAAAAATGAAGTTTATATATTGAACAAAAGAAACAAGGACAGAATTTTAAACACCTGTTTTGCCCCTCGTTTCAAACATGTAAATATATTTTCCACAAACTCTTCTCATTTAAATGAAGCCAAAGTTTTCAAATGTAAAATGTTGAAACACAAACGGCTCGACAAGAACTTTAAAAATAAATGCTCAGCCTGATACAAACCCCATCACCATCTGATGCAACTTTCAGTGTGTGAGTTGTCACTCGGACACATCAATGAGGATCAGTACTTGGCATTAAGTGTCACTAAGTCCTGAGACAAATGGCCAGAAATCCTGTTTGATCAGCCGGCCGACTTGTAAAGTGAGGTGGAGCGTCACTGTTTTCTCGTTGATCCTCAGATGAAGTGCGAACTGGAACCTACCGCCAGCTCTTCCACCCCGAACAGCTGATCACTGGAAAGGAGGACGCCGCCAACAACTACGCTCGTGGTCACTACACCGTCGGCAAGGAGATCATTGACCTGGTTCTGGACAGGACTCGTAAACTAGTGAGTTCAAATTTTCATAATGTGTTGGACGTGTGGCGTTTTCAACTGAGAAATCACTGGTTCACATGACCTCATTTTAAAACTGTCTCCCTCAGGCGGACCAGTGCACAGGGCTCCAAGGTTTCCTCATCTTCCACTCCTTTGGAGGAGGAACCGGCTCTGGCTTCACCTCTCTGCTGATGGAGCGTCTCTCCGTCGACTACGGCAAAAAGTCCAAGCTGGAGTTTGCAGTCTACCCAGCCCCCCAGGTGTCCACAGCCGTGGTGGAGCCCTACAACTCCATCCTGACCACCCACACCACCCTGGAGCACTCCGACTGCGCCTTCATGGTGGACAATGAGGCCATCTACGACATCTGCCGCAGGAACCTGGACATCGAGCGTCCCACCTACACCAACCTCAACAGGCTGATCGGACAGATCGTCTCCTCCATCACCGCCTCCCTGCGCTTCGACGGCGCCCTGAACGTGGACCTGACGGAGTTCCAGACCAACCTGGTGCCCTACCCTCGTATCCACTTCCCTCTGGCCACCTACGCCCCAGTTATCTCAGCAGAGAAAGCCTATCACGAGCAGCTCTCCGTTGCTGACATCACAAACGCCTGCTTCGAGCCAGCCAATCAGATGGTGAAGTGCGACCCTCGTCACGGCAAGTACATGGCCTGCTGCCTCCTGTACCGTGGAGATGTTGTACCTAAAGATGTCAACTCTGCCATCGCCACCATCAAGACCAAGCGCACCATCCAGTTTGTGGACTGGTGTCCCACAGGCTTCAAGGTGGGCATCAACTACCAGCCTCCCACTGTGGTTCCTGGAGGAGACCTGGCCAAGGTGCAGAGGGCCGTGTGCATGCTGAGCAACACCACCGCCATCGCCGAGGCCTGGGCTCGACTCGACCACAAGTTCGACCTGATGTACGCCAAGAGGGCCTTCGTCCACTGGTACGTCGGAGAGGGAATGGAGGAGGGAGAGTTCTCAGAGGCCAGAGAGGACATGGCCGCCCTGGAGAAGGATTACGAAGAGGTGGGAACTGACAGCGTTGGGGAGGAGGATGAAGGGGAGGAATACTAGATCACTGAAACATGCTGCTCACTGCGGCGCCATCGCTTCACCAATCCCAGAAAGAAAATCTCAACACCAGAAAGTGTTGTCGCTAAACAGTTTGGACTCATTCCTCTAAATTCTGCACATTCCAGTTCAGTACATGAGTTTCCTGCCTCATTGTTATTCATCCTAACTAATAAAGAACATGAAGTCAGTCTTTGTCCTGTGTTTACTTCAGTTCACATTAACAATCAGCTGACATTGTTTTTATAAGCATCTCTAAGGAAAAGCTCATGAGACATTTGAGTCATGTGACAATCATCAGTGTTACAGGTAATATTACAGGAGTGAACTTATTCACTTATGAATGTCTCGAGGTCAATGATTTTCCTGGAAGTGACTAAAGGAAAATTCAAACATCCAATTAAATGTCTTGTTTTGAAATAGAATCAGCAAATGGTGAAACATTTTAGGATCTGGAACCAAAGAAATCCTGTTTGAATAAAGGACTCAAAATAATGAAACTTTGACTTGATTTAATAGTTTGATCTTTATGAACATAAAATCAGGAGGTGACCTGCAGAGTTGTCTGGTAAGTATTAAAGATGCTGCAGTGACACTGCAACTTTCAAAGTATTTAAAGGTAAAGTGATGTTACTGATAAAAGCTGTAAAACATGTTAATTATGGAACCCACTGATCACTTTCTTGCCTAATTGAACATTTTAATCTCAAATGTAAAACTGTCTGACCAACAACCTAAAGATTTACAGTTTACTTTCATAAAGTTAATAGGTGAAGTGATTTCATACAGAACTTAAACGAAATTGAAATGTATAAAAATGACTAAACCTACGTCATATATACTTACATTTCCCCAAATGTTTCCATCAATTCTCAAACCTACAGAAATACATCTTAATATGGTAAGTTTTATTATTCAAAACATTAGCCATTTAATTTAATGAAAGCAATTGAACAAAGGAAAATTAAGGAAACATTAACTTCTGAAATAAAGTATATGGTAAAATAAATACAATAAAAGGAAACGTATAAAGGATAATGACCATAAAACCAAACCATATACATCAGGGTACTGTGAAGCAAGAGATATTAAGATATTATATATAGATATTAGGAAAAATATTTAAGGCTTTACAAGTTTCTATTGTTTAATAGTTTTTTACATTCAATATATATATATTTTTTTTTTAAATGTCTCTTCTAAATGAATAGTAGAACCAGTCAACGCCTTAAAGAAATGTTCTATATCCAACCAAAACATTACACTTTACAGTAAGTGTGGTGATTTAATTTAGTTCTAAGATTCCAAATAAACAACGTAAGAAATGATCAGTTCAAAAACATATAGATGTCAAAGTACATAAGTCTTGATGACAAGAAAATAATATAAATACAATAGTAGTATATTAAATAAATAAATGCCAGATGAATAAATAAAAACATGAATTTAAAACGAAACAAAAAAAATAAATAAATAAAATTAATAAAAATATAATCAGATTGATTAAAAAATATTCCTTTTATTTTGTGTTGATCCTTAAGAAATGGAAAAATTATAATTTTCCAATAGAAGCCCAAAGCTACAAGTAATATTGTCCAGGACGGTGAAGACAACAACTCCCATGATCCCACAGTATTTCATGACGTCACCCACCACCATCTTATTGTTTTGACTGAGAGACCCCCAGAGGCAGAAGTTACACACTGTGTTTAACTGACACGTTTTCTCCAAAAGAAAAAGTATCAATAAAAAGGAGAAACTTCAAATCCTCCCAAATACAGAGGATGATTATCAATAATTTTATCATCAAGAATAGTTTATATAATTAAATGATCATTTATTCCATGAGTAATGAAGACTGAACTCTGCTGTTCCTAAAGGAGCCGGGTATAATCCCCAGGTATTTAGTTGTTTCATGTAAGGCTCTGCACGAGGCGGAGAGGAGGGATCAGACTTAGATATGTGGTGCTTATCGAGGAGGTGGAGCGAGTTAATGATGCATGAGCTGTGCAGTGTGCGACTGTTATCAGACAAAGTACACCAACAGAAACATGTCTCAGTTTATTGTTTCAAGACAAAGACACATGAAAGACAATATCTTACTGAATCGATGGTTCAGATCTGACGATATGTCTAATATAGAATATGACTTAATTCCATACCACTGATCAGACACTCATTTTACTTTCAGATTAACAGGAATTTTAGCACCTGTAAAGACATGAATTTATTTGCATGGTAACAGTATCTAAATGTCACAATGTCTGGATTTTCACACAAGGAAAAATTACTTTTAAAAGTTCAGGAAATGCATAAAATAATGGACATGAAGGCCTCAGTATGCTTCAAACAATCTCAGATCTTCTAAGAGTCTGACCACTTTTACAACTTTCCAAAATAGACTGAGACAGATCCTTCAATTATGGATAATTTATCAGATTTCATCCCTCTCTATTATGTCTAAAAACCAGTAAGACGACCTTTAAAACGACCCAGTCACTGCTGGTTTTGTTTGTTTATTTCAAATTTAATATTCCTCCCCTTCTTCTTCTCCTTCGTCCCCAATGGTGTCAGTTCCCACCTCTTCGTAATCCTTCTCCAGGGCAGCCATGTCCTCTCTGGCCTCTGAGAACTCTCCCTCCTCCATTCCCTCTCCGACGTACCAGTGGACGAAGGCCCTCTTGGCGTACATCAGGTCGAACTTGTGGTCGAGTCGAGCCCAGGCCTCTGCGATGGCGGTGGTGTTGCTCAGCATGCACACGGCCCTCTGCACCTTGGCCAGGTCTCCTCCAGGAACCACAGTGGGAGGCTGGTAGTTGATGCCCACCTTGAAGCCTGTGGGACACCAGTCCACAAACTGGATGGTGCGCTTGGTCTTGATGGTGGCGATGGCAGAGTTGACGTCTTTGGGCACCACGTCGCCACGGAATAAAAGGCAGCAGGCCATGTACTTGCCGTGACGAGGGTCGCACTTCACCATCTGATTGGCTGGCTCGAAGCAGGCGTTGGTGATCTCTGCTACGGAGAGCTGCTCGTGATAGGCTTTCTCTGCTGAGATAACTGGGGCGTAGGTGGCCAGAGGGAAGTGGATACGAGGGTAGGGCACCAGGTTGGTCTGGAACTCCGTCAGGTCCACGTTCAGGGCGCCGTCGAAGCGCAGGGAGGCGGTGATGGAGGAGACGATCTGTCCGATCAGCCTGTTGAGGTTGGTGTAGGTGGGACGCTCAATGTCCAGGTTCCTGCGGCAGATGTCGTAGATGGCCTCGTTGTCCACCATGAAGGCGCAGTCGGAGTGCTCCAGGGTGGTGTGGGTGGTCAGGATGGAGTTGTAGGGCTCCACCACGGCTGTGGACACCTGAGGGGCTGGGTAGATGGCGAATTCCAGCTTGGACTTTTTGCCGTAGTCGACGGAGAGACGCTCCATCAGCAGAGAGGTGAAGCCAGAGCCGGTTCCTCCTCCAAAGGAGTGGAAGATGAGGAAACCTTGGAGCCCTGTGCACTGGTCCGCCTGCAGGACACTGAATATATCAGAACTCCTTTCATACTTTCAGACAGAAATGAAATGTTTGCAGCCAAACTCACCAGTTTACGAATCCTGTCCAGAACCAGGTCGATGATCTCCTTGCCGATGGTGTAGTGACCACGAGCGTAGTTGTTGGCTGCATCTTCCTTTCCGGTGATCAGCTGCTCAGGATGGAAGAGCTGGCGGTAGGTTCCTGTACGGACCTCGTCTGTAATTGGGAAACACCAAAGAAACAATGTCGTTCTCAAACCCGGTTCAACCTCCAGGACAAATGTGCATCAGAGAACAATAATCTGACCGATGACCGTCGGCTCCAGGTCCACAAACACAGCTCTGGGAACATGTTTGCCGGCTCCGGTCTCACTGAAGAAGGTGTTGAAGGAGTCGTCCCCCCCTCCGATGGTCTTGTCGCTGGGCATCTGACCGTCCGGCTGGATACCATGCTCCAGGCAGTACAGCTCCCAGCATGCATTGCCAATCTGGGCTCCAGCTTGGCCAACGTGGACAGAGATACATTCACGCTGCAAGAACAGGTCGTTCAGATGTCAAGAACTACTTGTAAACAGTTTTTTAAAAGAAAATCACATAACGCTCTTAAATTAAAGACAACAATTAGCTGGTTGTAGGAATGTTTTAAAGAGGCAGTGTGTTTCACTTCAGGTAAGTAATCCTTCACAAACCAATGACACCGTGAAGGGACCTGACCGTAGCTACTATAGAATGACATGATGGGATCATGTTTGCAGCTCTGAAATCCAACAGGTCTCAAATTTGCTTTATAAACCAAACACAAAGAGTAGTGCTGTCACAAAGTCTCAAACATTAATATTCACGGCACAGGTTTTACTTCCTGTGGCTCAAACTGCTTCTGTGGTGTGATGTAGCTCATGTGCGGAACCAAGACATAAAACAAAAGCAGTCCTCACCATGTTTTCGTCTCTCGGAGCAGTCCCTCGTTCACCTGAGAGGAGCGGTTGGGGATGTTTGTGTCAGGTGCGAGTGTGCGAGAAGCTGCTTTATAGCGCAGCATCACCAGGCAACGGGCCCGGCGTGTTGTGGTAACAGGAGGAGCTGGAGAAGCAAACACCGTCTCCTTCAATGAAAGATGAGGAGGAGGAAGAGCACAATAAAAGACAATCCACCGGCCTCCTCCCCGCCGTACACGTCTAAGGAACGACGGCTGTTGTTACACAGATGAGTAACTACCAACAAGTGGCAGAGAAACATGTTCGGCCTCCTCTCAAATTTCACATTTTAGATTTAAGACCAGGCAGGAGTTCAGACTTGTTCACGGATACTTGGACAGGCTTTTGTAAAATGTTGGTTTACCTGCTGATGGATCAAACCCACGTCCTGTTAGTTACACGGCAAATAAAAGATCTGTATATGAAAAACCACTTCTCTGTTGGAGCTTGTTCAGCTTAAAACTTGGCTCTGTTAACGTGGCCTCCATTCTCTAATCTCCCACAGGAGGGAAAACAGATACCTCCCCAGAGTGACCTGAATAGGCTTTTGTTACAGATCACTGCTGCATCACCACTTTGGTTGAGATTCATTTGCAATGCAAAGATGGCCGTCCGCCTGGGGACAACATTCGAGCACGCTTCTCTCTAAGGCAGGTGACGTTATTGTTGTCTCTTCTCCAGCGGGTTACAGAGCATCGACTAATGCACCGAGTTTTATCACACCAGAGAAATACAACAGGAGCATGCTGGTCCTAATTGTTTGGCCGGATGCATGAAATACTTTTAAAAAGACACTCTGCTGTATGAGTTGAACGAGGCTGTAATATGTGACCTCTGGATCTGATGGTAACTGTAGAGACATGACGACAAACTGTTTGAATCTCCCAGGAGGGTTTTGCCAGAACATGCTCCCGTTTAGTTTCCCTAGTTACTCTTTTCTCACCCGTCTTTGCTCTCGGATGTCGGCTGATCCTAACAGGCGGGGCAGTGGTTCAAGAGGTGTGTGTTTGTGTGTGTGTGTGT